CGCAACCCAAGGAGAAGACACACGAGTGTCCGCAGTGTAACAAAGCGTTCAGACATAAGGGCAATCTGATGAGACATCTGGCCATTCATGATCCCGACGCCTACAAAGACCAGAACATAAACTTCAGTCGAATGAACGATTCCGGGCAGTTGATCGATGACGACGATGAGGAGGAGGACGAGGACGACCTCATTGTTCCCAATGAGAGCGATGAGGAACAGACACTTTCGTTCACATTAGACCCGCAGACGCAACAGATATTGCAGAACACAAATGGAGAGCAAGTGGTTGTGTTCGAAGTGGTGCAGCTCAACAACAGCGGCAACGACAACGACGGCACTATACTTCCCGACAACCAATTGGTCGAACACATGAATGTCATGCAGGCCTCGACCTCCAAAGGCAAAGGAAAGGCTCGCTATTCGTTTGCCCGACAAAATGGTGCCAATAGTTCCAATGGTTTGTCTATTCATCTCATTCTTGTTTCTCTTCGTTGAAATACTTATATTTTTTGTTCATTTTTTAGATAATTTTATTATTCAATTGTCTGCTGAAGACGAAGAAGCGGCCAATACTATACAAGAGGACAGCATAATTGAAGACCCAGACTATATGCCTAAACCCAATATTAGACTATCATCCGCTCCGAGCNTGCTGAAGACGAAGAAGCGGCCAATACTATACAAGAGGACAGCATAATTGAAGACCCAGACTATATGCCTAAACCCAATATTAGACTATCATCCGCTCCGAGCACTTCCACGGCTTCTGCTATCATATCACAGTCCACTTCCATTCCTCCGCCGCCTATTGTTACCGATGATACCAAGCATTTAAGGGATCAGTTGCAGAAACAGAAGGATTTGGCCAATTGTTTCGGTTTTAAGGTATGAATCATTTGATTTAAAGTGACAGCAAATGAATGCAATTTAAACAAAACGTATTGTTATTTAGGATGACGACGAAGAAGACGACGCTATACTATCAATGCCTGCAGTTCACGGACAGTGAGACCAATGTATGACAAGTACTGTAATCAACAAATACGCCAATCATTGCATTTGTTGTGTAAAATATCACTAATCGAAGAAAACAATGGCCTGATTGTGAAAACTGATGAATTGGTTTTGTGTTATCCGACAACACATTTATGACAATTCAAAAGGATATGCACTCATATTCTCGATGGACACCAACACTATTCATGTGTTTCTTATATTTAGAAACAAAATTAATTTAATTAATTAATACACAAATTCTATTCCTATCTTTTTTCGA